ATATGAACTTTGCACCATTTTCAAAGAAGGGTAAGTCATAAAAAGGGGCAAGTTCTTGCAGGCAGGCTATTGTGTTGTACAGACCGAGGCCTACCCAAGTCCATAGTGCAACCTGGTTAAACAGCACTTAATTTTTATATTGCATTTATAACACACAAATATTTGCCTTTGGGCTTTCTGTCGGTAATAACGAACCATTCTCAGAGCAGTTGTTTCTCTGTGCAGGCAACACCAACCAGTGCATCCTTAAACCTGAGGGTGAGAAGCTGCAGCAGAAGCCAGCGCTGCCTGGCAAGTTGAGATTCCATTGAAAGGAAGGGAGCAGCCTGTGCAAGAAGCACGGTGACAGCTGAGGACATGATGAACCAGCCCTCTCCGTTTCCCTCTTCTCCCCACTGCCCGCCCTCCAGTAAGCTAAACCAGCATCTGAAGCGACCACCTCCTCCAAGTGTCCAGCAGCCTTTGCACTGCAGAGCAGCCCCTTGCAGCCCAAGGAGCGGGATGGAAGGAGGTCTGGATTCTGCGGTCACAGCACGTGGTGGTAGGAACCCTCCTGGCTCTGGTCACCACAAATACCTCCTGGAGACCCCATCATACAGAGAGGAAGCTGGCAGGGAGAAGCAGGAGGACAGCCTTGCAAAACAGGTTACCTTTGTGTTGAATCTGTACGTGTACCTACTACAGCAGGGTCTTCCACCACTTGAACTCCAAGGGACAGATGGATAAACACAGCAAAGCAACTCAAATATGATTCCTCCAAATAGCATTAAGGTATCAATGCCAGAGGGCACCACTTTGAGGTGTTTGTGATTTTTCTACACTGTCGTTATGCACGCTTTTACCGTCTGTACTCGTTCTTGCAGAGCGGCCAAATTACGTCCCACTTTTCTGAGCTTGAAGGCGCTTGGGATGACAGTAACAGGCAACAGAAACAGATCCTTAGGGACACTGTTAATCTCTCTGCTTGACTTGCCCTTTTTATTTTCCTTCCTCCTCCTTCTGGCACAGTATAAAGCAAGCCCTGTGCCATGAATGACATCGGTCAGTACCCTCGAGATGACTGATAAACTTTGAATTCTACTCACTTGTGAAATGTGGTGAAGGTTTGTTTTGGTCCCAATTTGTGGGAAAGAAGAAATTACATCAGGAAGGTGATGCTTAACATGAAAAGAGAAGCAGCAGAGGTTTCTTAAATTGTGGATTCGTTCAGTTTTATATGTATTATATTCCTTTTATATGAGGTGCTGTAAGATTTTTCACGTTCTGGGGGAAACTGCAAAGCAATGAAAAACTTTCCAGTTTCCCTTGCAGCAACGATTCCTGCAAGGGCATTTTGACAAGTGAACTAATTGAATTACAGTAACTTTGAAACCCATGCTGTTAACAACAGAATAAATCCAGGAGTTTAGATTAGATATTGTAGAAGTTTTGCTCTACCGAGTGATTCCTTTGGCTCTGATCAGGGCAGGAATACTGGACACCAGGATATAACACAGCATGGACATTTTTATGTTCTTTTTTCCCCACTCATCGTAAAGACTGTGTATTTTAGGAATTTAAAAGATTATCTATATTTTGGCCAAAATTTTTCTATATTACAAAGAATTCCAGATGCTTGAAGTGAGCAAACATTCCTTATAAAGTAAATATTATGGAGTAGTGGAAGAATCCATCCCATTGCCACTCAAGGGAAGAAGAGTCCTTGACATTAAACCAGGCAACTGGTTTATTGCATATTTGCAAATGCACATCCTCACAGGGTTTAACTCCCATCTGATAGAAACATTCATGCTCTTCACCGGTGTTCAGCAAGGAAAGGGATGTGACTATTCTGTACAAAGAAGCTGAGCAGATTACGCCTCAGAAAGCAAAATACTGGGTCCTCTGACAGGCGCCCAGGACGAATCACTTGGAAAGATCATCTTGTGGTTGAAGCACAAGACAAGGAGGGCCAAGCTCTGTTCCCAGCAGTTCTGCTCCACGCTTGGTGTGTGACCTAGAGCAAGTCACGAATTCTCTGTTCCTGTTTCCTCTTCGGTGAAAATGATGACAATGGTCATGTCTATTCTCAACAGAATTACGAGTACTCATTAATTTACATTTCCAAATGTTTCTCATTCTTCGCAGGAAAAACATTGCAAATATTACTGCCCCTACAACTACCGCACCAGATTATCAACTCTAAACTAACAAAAGGGCATCAGACAAACTTCAGCCCTACCACACTTCTTCTCGCAACTTGTTCCATCAGAAAACAGCACTCTCATAAGAAAACAGTGTTCAAATCAGTCAAGCAAAGGAGAACCTGAAAGGCTGGCGGTAAGCAGCATCTCTCCAGGCTTGCCTTGCAGGTTCTGTTCTCTGCTGCAGACAGGATATTAGATTAACGGGCTCTTTCACAAAGTATGGTTTAAACTTACACTACAACTTTCCTGGAGCCCCCTACTATTTTGTACTGGTATCTGTCCAAAGCATTGGCTATGGAAAGTTGTAGCCTGTGCAACCACTTACAGACTCAGAATTAAGCACGTGTTGAAAGCAGTGGAGAGACTTTACACATCAGCCCCAAATAAAAACAAGTTCCCTGTTTTGCATCCTCTGAAAGGCTATGAATCAAGAGGTGAGAAATAATGAGGAGCTCCTCCTGGCTCCTACATCAGGGTACCCGAAACATGCTGGGAGCTATAGCATGAAAATCTGAATTTCCAAGGGGTGGACAAGAGTTGAGCAGGTTCCAGGCAATGTGGAGATTCCAAAGGGAACAACTGTCCCAAACCCAAATGGCTCCAGAAGGAAGCAAATATGTAATGGTTAGTGAGCTGAAGCAAAGGTACAAAGAATATTGAGGTCTGCTCATCATGCTGCATTGATCACAGTCCTGAACACCAGGGCAGAAAAGACGACAGATACAGAGGATACTGAGGAACAGGAGAAACCACCTGAAAGCTACGATGTCAAAATCACTTTTGAAATAGGCAGGGTCATTCATATACATCTGGAGGACACCTGGAAAGCAGCAATTTAAGAGAAGCCTAAGGAGCAAGACTGGACAGAACAAAACATATATTTTAGAGGGGAAAAAAGGCCTGTGTGGTTTTAGGCAACATATTTAGGACCAGGGATCCAGAGGAAAGGCCCTCAGGACTATGCGGTCAGACATTAAATTGTAAGCTGTAGACAGCAGAGGGTTTTTTGTTTTGTTTTTTTCATCTTTTTTCCCTTGAAGCTGCACCTTGCTCTCAGGGAACCCAGCCATGGCCCAGTTATAGCACTATGTTGAGGGAAGCACTTAAAATGACATAACTAATCAAGAATAATGAGACAGAGTGAAATACTAGAAGTTTAAATGAAAGAAATGCAAATGGTAGCAAGGCTGCCAAACATCGATTAATGGAGGAAATAAAGTGCCTGTAGCATGGGATTTGCAAACAGCCTGCCGGCCTAGAAGGGTCTAAATAACCCAAAGGGAGAGGAATCATTTTTAAGCTGTATAATTAGACAAAGCAAAGCAAGATTCTGCAAATTTAAACCACTGGAGGAAACCCGATGTATGCCATTCACAAGGCTCAGCAAGAGCTGGCCGTAGAAAATGGTCTTTCTGAAAACAGGGGAAGACCAACAACGATCCCAACTGTAAAACACGCTGCCCATTAGCCACCTGGCATTGCATGAAGCTGCAAAAAGAGCACGCTGTGTTTGCAAACAACCGCAGAGCCAAACCTCGCTCAGATCTTTCGGAGCCCGTTTGAGGCAGCTGACCTGGGATTAGGGTTTGGTTCCCAGCTCTGCCATGAGCGGCATGTGAACGTCCAAGCGAGTCACGTAGCCGGTCTGGGCCTCAGTCTTCCACCTGTGGACCTGGGGGGGGGTCTCAATGCCATCCCACCTCCCGGGGTCGCTCAGGCGTTGCCCCCATGGGGGATGGCAGGGTGGTCAGAGCGCGAGGGGGGCTGCACCCCTCCAGGGGAGGCTGAAAAGCTGTAGCCGGGCTGCGAAGACCGTATCTGCTCGTCCCACATCTGATGGACAAGTGTGCTCACGCTCTCTTGAATAAATCTGTTTGGTAGGGTGGAGTCTGCCTTATTTTTACTCTACATGCAAATTATATCCCTCAACAACCTCACTGCAAATATTTTCTGGCTTCTCACACCCTGCCCTGGGCAGGAGCAGGCTGTTTTCCCTGCAGATCCTCTGGCTTCCTTTGAAGCTTTGGGTTTGGGCTATTTTGATTTTAAAGAAGCGAGAGAAGCTTGTGAGACAGGGCAAGTTGGAGGGGAAAAAAACAAAACCAAAACCCAAACAACCAGAGGAGAAAAAAAGGCAGGCGAAGCTGTTCTGCTAAACCCCGCTCTGGCAGCGCCGGCGATGCAAGATGCCGCGGGCTCCGACTTCGCCAACTCCTCGAAGTGACAGGCAAAGACACAACTCCCTGGGCGAGATGACACTCGCCTTCCCCTCCTCCAGCTCGGCCCTGGCAGCGCAGCCTTACCTGTTTGCCAGCGGCAGCAAGGCAAAGGAGAAGGAGCCAGCAGCCTGACGGTACGGGCATGTCTGGGTGTCCCCGCTGCCTCCTCCTGTGGCTCCTTTTCCTGCCACCGAAGAGAAACTAGATCCTTCCAGCCAAGCCCCCGCGCCCCGGCCGCACAGCGAGGCACATTTGAGCTAGCTACTTCTCTTTCTTCCTTTCCTTCCTCTCAGCTACACGAGGGGAGAAGAGAGAAGAAGAAGAAGAAGAGAAAAAAAAAAAGCGCCTGGCTGTAGTTCCCACAGCATTTCCTCAGACTTGACATGCAGGTTTTTTGGTGTTGGTTTTTTTTTTTTCCTCTCCCCTCTTCTTGTCCCTCCCTTTCCTTTCTCCACCCCCTCTTACAAGAAGTTTAGTCACCATGCCCATGTCCCTCCTCCTGCCGATGGGGACTGCTTTCCCGGTCCTTCTTGGCAGGGCCATCCATCCACCTGCCTCCCACCCCCGCGCCCTCCCTGCCCACCCCTCCTCTTACCTTGTGCCATCCCTCGCCGTGCAGCTGCCCTGTAATCGCCTCCTTCTCCTCACCACCTCTGGATGTTGCCTTACGCTGTCGGATGACATTCTGGGCCTCGGCCGTGCCTCGCACAGCCTCCCACCTCCACCCCTGTCGCAACCGCCCTCCTGCTGGCACCTTCTCCCGGTACTGGGGAAAGCCTCCCATCCCATCCCCTATCCCATCTCTGCTCCCGGGCAACAGCCCTGCGGGTGCCAGCCATGGCGTTTTGGCACAGCTTGAGGCCCTCCCCACCAGGTACTTTGCTTTGGCTGACGGCTGGGATTGCTGCCAGGGGAAAGGAAAGCTGAAGATGTGCTTCGGGAGCTCTCCTAAAACACCCCACGTCACGCACGGGGTCAGCCTCTGCCACCCAGCTTGGGACAGCGTAAAGTGGCCTCTCGACCCCCAAAACAGACTCATCACAAAAGAAGGGCTGCAGCTGATGGCATGCCGTTCAAACCCAGGCAGAGCCCGTGACGCCCCTCGTCTCGCCAAGGGAGCGGGAACCCTCTGTGGTGGGGCAGGACTGGGCAGCGCTGATTTAGGGGGGGGGGCTGTGGGTATCTGGCAGAGCCGACCGTGTCGTTACCCCCCCTCCCCTGCCTCTCTGCGCTCACATGCCGCTGTGAAATAAGCCAGGAGTGTGCTTCTGACTTCAGCGAATAAGGAAGTTGTTCTTTCACTTGTGTATTTAGATTTAACCCTTGACCAGGAAAAAAAAAAAGTTATTTATAAGTTGCTCTATGTTTGCAAATAAATAAATTCAAACACAAAAGATGAATAGGATATATATTTTTTAAAATATCCTTTACCTGTACTGCTGTGGTCTGATTTCTGCTCACAGGAGCAATCCTCAGAGCCAGGGAGCACGGGACAGAAATGGCTGTCGGGTTTCTCTCCTGTAGCTAGCACGGATCATGGCAAAACGAAGCTACAGCCTTCACTTTGTCTCTACATAGTTTCCAGTGGCCATAAAGCCAGACCTCTTTAATTTTCCTAAAGTTACTTCAACACTTAACACTCTCAATGTCTTCTACAAGCATCAGGCCCTGCCCGATCTGTGCTCAAGCAGGTCTCGGTGGCCACATTCCCCCACCTGGTCTCTATCACGACGTGGCTCTTTGGGTGCTGGTGGCCCCGACACGTCTCTGATGCTCCACAATGGGCTATGGGACAAAATGACATCGTGTGACGTGCCGGGCTCAGGGCCGGCACCTGCTCCTGCTGCCCGTTCACCTCAAGAAGAGCTAGGGCAAGGGACACACTGATGGGTTTCAGCAAGCCGTAGAGTTTGCAGTTGCACTGTCAGAGCCCTGTTGACCTGCCAGAGGAGTCGGGGTCTCACCACACTTGGGCTGGACAGGCTACAGCTCTACTGCCAAACAGAAATTGAGTTGGGGGTGACGGGTGGGAGGGACGGCTGCGGCACGCAGCTTGCCCAGTAGGCAACATGTGCAAAGCTGACTTCACCAGGGGCTTTGCAAGGTGTGGGTGATGTACGTGCCCGGCTGCTGGCAGCGCTGCTGTTCTCTGCTGATCCTGGAGGGTGCCTGGTGAGACGGCGGGGCTGTGCCTGATGGGCATCCTTCTGCCAGAGCCATGTCCACTCACCGCCAAAAACTTGCAGCCCTGTGCCGGCTGGTGTGTTTTAAAATGTTCATATTTAAGGCACAAGGAAATGTTTCTTTTTTAAACAGAACAGTCTGTTAAGTCTCTTCCCCTTTTCACATTTAGTACAATACCAAGGCTATGGGCTGTGTTTATTTACCAGCTGCTCATTTTAACCACAGATTTACAGAGGCAAACTCACATTGTCAAGAGCAGTTAGACATGTTTTGAGGTGAAGGTGTTGAGTAAAGGCTTTGAAGGCACTGAGTAAAGCCAAGCCCTGTTCAGCTCAGACAAGTTCCAGACAGTTCAATATTGCACATTAGCTGAATTACTTTTGCATTCTCATTCCTGATCCTGTCTAAAGTACTTCTTGTCGAGGCTGAAATTTCTCTCATTTTCTACCACTATGTGAAAACAGCCTCTTTTTGAAAGCTCAGACATTTTCCTCCGAGTTAAATTTTATGTTTCTGAGCCAAAACCCGCAGAAGCCACTACTGGGTGCTTTATAGTCTTAATTATGTACTGCAGTAGATTGTTAGAAACTGAAATGTGAATGCTAGAAAATATGAACTAGATAATATACAAGAGAAAGTGCTGTCAGTGCTCTCACATTTATCACATATATCATTCTATGTAGCGTAAGTAAAAAAAACTAAAAATTTACACCAAAACTGGTGGTTTGTCAGCCTTTTCTTTTACAGAAAAGGTTTTATTTTTTTTCCCCTATCATAGAACACCAGTTTTTCAGCTATTTTTGCAAAGCACCTATTTTGAATAAAACCAAAATGCTTGAAATCTGAAAGTTTCAAACTTACGGCAGTGTTCAGGTGTCTCCTGTTTCTGTTCATCACTGTGGCATGCAAGCCTAAACTGGACTGGTCTTCGGGATGCTCTTTCTAAAGAAGAGAGATGGAAAACCATGTGCAGCCTTAGAGGTGTGACAGAACCAAAACAGGATAATGTCAGGATCCCTTCCTTGGTGAAGCCTGCCATGGAAAACAAATCGTGAACACAGCTGACCGCTTAGCAGGTCACTATGGATCTCTTCTTACCTCCTTCCTAGAGAGAGGAAAGTGGAAATTACATACTAAATAATATTTTAAAAGAAGTACAGCAGTCAATGTAATACTGAAAGTTTTGTAACTGTCTGAAAATGAAACAACTTCAGCATCTTTTCCAGGAACCTCTTTTCCAGGAGCTTGCATAAATGGTTACTAACTCTCATGCAATTCTTGAATTTGACTCCCATCTTTCCAAAACTTTCAACCCAAGTAGTAAAGATAAGGAATAGTTTGGTGGATACACCAGTCGACTGTGGCTCACATTCACGTTCCAAGCTATTCCGCCACTTTATTGATGCTGCTGAACTCCCGTGCCCCTTACCTGCACAAGGACCCCAACCCCATTTCCCCACGAGGAGAACTAGGAGGCTGCGTGTTAAACGTGGGTCATCAAAACGACGTGAAGGAAACCTGGGCAGAGAAACCGAAAGGCATGTGGTTGCACCCCAGCATGCCTTTTCACACTGTGCGGGAAGGCTGTGAAAGAGCTTCCATTCCCCTGCCTCTCACACCCTGTCGAGGGATGTGGGATGAGACGAAGGATTTTGTTGGATTGAGATCAATGTTTTTCTTCCAGTAGATGTTGTAAAGATGGTTGGGGTTTCAGACTCTGAACTAAATACAGGTTTTGTAAATATGAGCACCTACCTCTCAGCCGGTGAGTGAGAAACCCAGTCCAAGTGCAAAGTTAGAGCTCTAGGAAAGGACCCCCTAAATCAGGGGGATGCCCTGCGGGGTTGCAGTGCAGCTTCTGGAGTATCGGCAACCTACATACAGAGTCCGTCATGGGAGAAAAGTCTCCTCCAGTTGCCTCATCACCCACCACGGAGAAAGGGCCCTACTATACAATCCAGTACGTGGAGCTTTCTACACTGGGCTAAAGAGAAAAAAGGTAGAAAAATATCTGCACACTTTCAGCATAGAGGGCTGTAATTTTATTTGAGGTCACTAGCTATTAAAAGAAATCCATAAAAAAAATTAGATCTATTATTTACCAAAAAAAAATTCATACACAAAACTATGCCGTCAACTTGAAACTGCTTTCCTCCTGTGAAACGCAAGTTTCCATAGCAGACTATTGCCCAATCTCCTTGAGATTTTCAAACGCGCAAATATTCTTCATGACAGAGCAACTATAATGAAGCTCCTTAGTCACATTGGTGTAGTTTACACAACACACCTTTTACAGTCCCACAAAAATGTACCAGTGCTGAAAGCTGTCAAAAACCTGACGTTTGCAGCATTCAAAAGAAAAAAGGTTCACAACCAGCTACTGTTAATGTGTTGAATATTCGAAGTACGTGCAAGCATACACTGAACTGACGGGTTATCACCAACCACTGCAGCAATAACAATGCCTGCATACTTCTGGAAGGAAATACAAAGTCATGGTGAATTTTTAACTTTGAATATTTGTTCATGATTATAAGAGATACCAACATGATGACCTCCAAGACTTAAGTCATATATTCATCCTTAGGACAAGAACAATACTGGTACGAACTAGGGAGCCTGCCCTGCTCAGGATACACCTCCAGCTGTGCCCTGGCTGGACATGAGTCTTTAACCCACCAAGCCCTCAGCAGGACTGAGACCATAACTCCTTTGAAACACCATGCAACACCCCATTACCAGTTCCACAGAGCCACCCTGTCATTTTCTCTAACAGCACACTTAATGATCTTGAACTTCTTTGAAAACTCACCAGAATATTGAGATGAGTCATACTTAGATCAATAGAGTGCATTCATCCCTCAGCACAGGATCAAATCTAAACAAAACCTTATTGCCTATTAAGCACTACAGCTACTTATTCCCTGTCCCCACTTCCCCATCTCCTTGGAGCATGTTTAAAGGGAAGATATAACACGCCTGGTCAAATGACACACAGGATCGTAACAAGGCACGCGCTTTTCTACAGCTGCTGTAACTTCAGCAGGACTCCATCGTACCGCCTCCACCTCAGCTGCCACTGAAGTTGAAGAGATTTCTTAGGTTTTGGGGAAAGAGAAAAATCTCCACTAAAGTGCAGGGCAAAGAGCAGCAGCACAAGACCACAATCACAGTGATTTTGGGAATGGCAATATTTAAATACACTGCAAACAGCCCTGTTTGTACGCACACAGTATTTAAATGGTAAAGTAAAAAGGTATCTGCCTCTATGGGATAGAAAAGTTGGAGGTTATGGAGCATCCTGAAATACAGCGAACAAGGGGCACGGTGTGGAGCACATGCAACACCAGTGCTGGGAAAGGAACCGGACTGACCACTGTCATGGTGTTGGCCCTTTACATGAACTCGTGAGTCACCTTTTCAAGTCACTGACTTCTATAGTAGAATTGCTCACGCTCGAATTTTCTAGGAACTAGAAATCTTCAGTCTAAGGAAGTCTTTCACTACATTGGAAGTATGATGGAAGTTCAAGCTCAGCATGTAGTGCAGATGTCTCTAAAGATACAGGCTGTTTACCACTGACTTGCCCATTACAAACTCCACAAGCAGAATCTATCTCTTCTTACAGCTTATCTATAAGCATGAAACCTGACCAGCATTAAACCTAAGGACTTTAGAAACAGCTTCTCTGGAAAAATGATTACTCACTCATGGTTACTCATCGAGATTAGTTAACACATGATATATTAGCATACAGTACTAATATCCAGGACCTGATTAGCCTACTTATTCAATAACAGCACTCCTCCATGCCATTGACTGATTTTACAGTCTAAAACAAATGAGCTACATATCTAAATGCTCTCAGTAAACCACCAAACCAGTTTCCTTGAAGTTTTGTTGCCTGGCACCATACTGCAATCCTGTAATTCATCAGCATCTACATCTGATGCAAGACAGTCTGTGATTCTACCTAGGATCAATGCCACACCACACAGCTTGGTATACCAGCATAATAGTGATTTTCTGCTCCATGAAGCTTTCCTGGTACTTCATGGTTTACTTAAATATCAACATCAGTAAGTGTCACATGGGAAATTACTTAAAACATCTGGAATGTGATACCCACCTTTAGAAACTGCAATAAAACGTAGAGCCACTTTCTCCTGGAACAGAAAAATGCCATCAACACTGCCACAACAGAGAGAACAGAAATATTCCACACTTCTGCTTTTTCTGCACCATTTTGAATCATCTTATCATCCATATGCAGCAATGAATTCCCACAATATATTACAAAAACTTCTTGTTCTTCACCACAGATTTTTTTCCATTGATGATTTTTATCCTTCAGTCTTGACACTGTAATGTGCAAACATCAGCTTCCTCAGTTTCTCTAGCCCTCAATCCATTCAAATGCTTTTAGTTCTCCTAACCAGAATACACTTTTATGTACAGTAACAGCAATGGGTTTTTTCTCTTGGTGTGAAAGAGGAGTGGGAAGAGACTGACAGAAGAAGAATGTGCATCTTTTCTTAAGCAGCTTCCTGTATTCACCTTGATTAGAAGATAGGGAACGAGTAATTTGTCTCATTTATAGTTTTAGAAAACAATCTCTTTCTGAACAAAATATATGCATAGTATCAGTCAGTCTTATGTTTAATCTACAGAACACATATTTAGATCATGAATACTCATTGAGGCAGCCATGTACCTTCAGCCCACTGATCATCTTTGCTTAAGAGCACAAGAGTCAATCTTTTAAATAAAGATACTAAGATTCTGAAATTTCACTACGAGCAGCATGAGACCTTCAACATATCCTCTATTTAAATCCAACAAGTTGTAGAAGTTCAGGCAGAGCTAATAAAGCCAACATTTTGGTTTTTTTTACAGAATCCTTATTTAGGCAAAATCATAAGTAATTGAAGATAACCCTTTGGGGATGAATTGCTTTCCATGCTGGCTATCCAACTGTTGCCTTTCAATGAAGCATTTTCTCCCCAAAGGGTCACTTAAATTGTTTTGTATAACAGGAGGGGAAAAAAAAAGCTAATTTAAAATATTCTGGTAATTCTTCTCTTTAAAGAGTTATCTCTTTTCTTTCCCAATCCTGAATGCTACTGTGCCATATCCAGGATGAAAAAAGAATTTAAAAACCCCCAAACATCCCCCAAACTCACAAAGAACAACTTCTTGCAATCTTGAAAATCTGTCAATATCTGGTAAACTAATAAACATTTAAACAAACTCCTGCAACCAACATATACTAAAGAGAGTCCCAAAATTCAGGAGGCAAAACTCCTGAAGACAACCTGCATAAGGTTGGTTGCCTACACAGAAATTTTTTTTCACCTCAGTAGTAACCGTGCTGGTCTTCCTGGGATTCTCGCTCAAATTCCTCCTTGGATCAACCGGTATGAAGTAAAATGCTGACAGGCAAAAGCTAACCTTTGCTAGGGGCTGGCGAGACTGGACCTAGCTGGGCAAAGATGCTACATTTATACTAACAGATTAAAGACTCTCATCCCACAATCATCCATAGTTAAATTACTGTCACAGTTTTTTTGGCTTGTGCCGATTAGCAGGTTTCCAAACACTGGCTGAAGTTCAGTGTGGGCTAGGAGCCACGCTCACAGGCAGCCTGCAGGCAGCTGCCCTGCTTTGGAAAGTAGAAGTTTAACCATAAAGAAGTCATTTTGGTCTCATGATTTCAGAGCTCTCTCTGGCACCGCAACTACTGGAACAGATACAGAAGACAGGACGGGGTGGCGAGTGGCATAGGAGAGGAGACCCGGAATGAAAATGGCAATAAAGCCACATGGCTAGAAGCCAGAATGAAATAGGCACCCAGAGACAGGAAATTCAGCAAGTTCAGTCTACTATCTGCTATGTAAAAAAAATTAAGGCTAAAGAATTTCTGTGCATTAGACTTCTCTCCTGTAACAGCCATTTTGATGTGATAATCTTTTTTGGAGAAGACTAGAAGTAACAAGACAAGGCAAAACCAAACTTTTTATTGATAACAGAACAACAGGGAGGAACGTCACCACTTCCCATTCCTCAGGAATGTCTCCATTTCACAGTCAGTCTGCTAAAAGTATACTTTCATGGTAACAAGCAACACGAAGGCATGGAGTCGTCTGTAATCTCAAGAAAAATGTTTCATCAGTGCAGTGCAAAGAGACCAACAGTGTGCAAGTGTGCAGCAGGCCCTGTCACAACACAAACATGGCAGGTGACTGTATATGCAGAGCCAACAGGCACAGACACAAAGCAGTCAGAAGCCTCAAATTACCTCCATTATTTCTGTCTAAGGGCAATACCTGAAGTGCTACTCCATCCATACTCTGTTTCAGAAGTGAATACTTTCTTCCCTCACTCCTTTTGCTTCCCCTGTCCTCAAAGATGTTAATACTCCCAAGTGAATGGTACCATGTCAGAGAACACCTGAGCTTTTATATTTTGCTACCTCATACCAGTTCATGCACGCACTTGAGTTCACTTTCACAAGCTTACATTGACATAAAGAAGGAAGAAAAAAAAAAAAAGGTGCTGCATAAGAATAAAAGGATTTAGTTGTTAATGCTTCCTTGCTAACAAAAATACTTGGTAGCTGAAGATACTCCTTGTAATGTCATTTTTATAAAGTATGTATACAGTCTACTCAACATTTTAAAGAACCTGCATGTCAAACTCTTAATTTCAAATAGTTTGAAATTAAATTTGAACTGAGATCCAATCTAAACAACAAAATATCTTAATTTTAGCTTTTATAGTACACAGAACTGCACATCAAGTGCAAAATGAAAGCACTCTTTTGCCTCCATAAGTTTCCTCTGCCTGCAGAACTGTACTGGGAGCCCTGTGTAGTAGCTTATACATTTATTAATTTATCATGTTTTTCATTTACTTATCAGATGTGCCTCTGTTTGTGTAGACTGGTTGTTAAAGTGCTTTAAAATAAAATAAGCCCAATAAAAGAAAACATCCCTCAAAAAACCACAACAGGTGTGAGAATTTTATCTGAAGGACTTTGTACAGCATTTACAATGTCAGCATAAAGCATCTGAAACATGAGCATTCCCTGCAGACTGATGCAGTGCAAGCAGTCTCATACATTAGATACTGCAATTCCTCTGGATTCAAGATGCACAATACTTACAAAAACAACCCTAGAAGCACAGACAAATGCTGGTGGCTCTTCCTCTTCTTTTTAGAAACATAATAAAAAAAATCTGCATTACTCTTTCATAATTTAAATACATAAGTAATCTCCACTTTTATTACTTCATGACAATGACTTCAAATTTACATTATTTTAAGTACCGTCATAATAGCTCCATGTATAATACAGATATTTGCTGATATCCTGTCAGAAAATTAAAAAAAAACAAACCCTTCCACTATATAAAAAAAATTATGCTGGAAAGACAAGAACACAGAACAGGGACTTGGTACAGACTATGATTTCAGTTTTATATCAACCACAGTAAACCCCAAATTAACAGATACACAGCGATATTCAAAAGCAGTGCAAATATCTTTGGAGGTTAGAATAAAATTATACTACAAGAACATAAGACAGAAGAAATTAAAAGGCAAGTACTTCAAGTACAGGAACCAGTCTCTGTGAGGTCCATCTTAGTGTTAGCTGGGAGTTTGCTTTTCCCATCTTACTTCTTCCTTTGAAACACATTAGCCAACATTGCACCTGATGTAGTCAGCTGGCCCATTTTGTTCAAAAACTTGGTCTTTGTATCTTCACTCACAAGGCTCGCTGCAATCGACATTGAGCTAGGAAAGTAAAAAATTTAGTGACATAAGACTACAAAGTGAACAGAACACTGTGCTGTTATTTAATAAGCATTTGTCTTTGTATTTTAGAGGTTTCAACATCACAAAAGACCAGTCCCTCAAGGAGAATTTAAAAACCATCACCACCAAGCCCAAATATACACTGTTAAATTGATTATCATGTCCTCACAGTCCTAGTGAAAACTGTAAAATATTTTTGTGCATACCACTTTTTACTACATTTGGAAGTCACCACATTAGCATTTGTTAGCTATTTGGCAATTGCTCTAGTGACAAATACCTCTGTGAAAGATCGGCTTTACCTTCTCACCAGAAATGTCAATCCTTATGTTTAATTAGTAGAAGAACAACAGTACTAGTTCAGACCAAGGATCTATCTAGCCCAAGTATCCTGCCTCTGACAGTGACCATTAGCAGACATGTAGTGAAGAGTAAAAGCAAGGTAAGTACAAAACAGTGACTTCTCTCCTTAATTTCCAACTCTCTTATTTTCCGACTATTTCTACCTCAGCAGAGTTTAAAATCAGTGTGGACTGTCAATCTAGTAACGCCCAAGGAATCTTTATTTTACATTACTTGTTCAGCTTTCCTTCGATCTCCTTGTAAACTTCTTGTAAACCCTACCCTGAGCGCTACTAGGTCTACCCCTCACTGGGTAAAGAGCTTTCTCCTGATTGTTGCGAATGTGACTCCTACCACCTTTGCTTGAGTGTTTCTACTTCTTACATACTAGAGAAAACGATGGAGAGCCCCTAATTTTCCCTGCAAACCGGACTAGAAAGAGCAATCCAATCAATGCTGAACCTACAAGATGCTACAACTTCGAATACGTTAAGAAATTATCCCAATGCTGCAAAATGAACTTATTTTTTTTTAGATTTACAACATATCACTGAGCTCAACTTCAGATATATGTAACTGTTTTGCATAGTAGGAATAATCTGTCTCAAGACAGAGTGCAACAAGGCAAATGTATGATAGCAGAAAGATTAATAAATATTCCATACTTCTTATATTTGTAGCTAAAATGGCAAACATATTTTTCAACATTAGGCAAGGCTAATTTTACAAAACATTACCAGTGAAATTCTCCTTTGTAAGCTCGTTGTGGACTCTGCGTTTCAAAATTATACCTAAGATCACAACATCTGTCTTATTGGCACAGGCCAGCTTCCAGGAACTGACTTTTCAGTCTGCAGAGTGATAAACAGTTCTTTTAAACACTGTTGCATCAAGGCAGGTCAAGTTGAAGTTAACTCCAAATTGCTTCAACAGAATTTGAATTATTTCTTCAAGGGTACGAAGGAGGCATTCGGTAGCTCTTCCCCATTTCATATCACAAAAGAAGGTGCTTAGCGGTAACAAATTATGGTTCTTTTTTAACAGAGTACTTGGAGCAGGGCGGGGGGGGGAAAGGAAGCTTTTCACTGAAGCTGTACTGTGGATTTACAGATAGATCCATTGTATCATAAACTGTGTCCCCTTAAATGTATGCCCCATCCCTTCTACTTTTTAAGCTGAAGTGACTCCCCGTCTTCTGCATTTCCACAGTGCCTAATGGACCTAGATCATTGAAGGGCCCTTCGCTACGCCTCACATAGCATACCTAAGAGTATCACAAAGCATACTCTTAGGTATTTTTTTCCAGTACATCTCCCATTAATGGAACAGGTTCTTCAAATCAATCACCTCATTTTAATTATTATTAGTTGGTATTTTCTGAAAGCTCTGTAAAGTTTCTCATTATCTAATATTTAGCGTTTAAGCATCATTTTATTGAAAGTATGATGATTGAATTTTTAGTAAAGTTTAAAAATTTGAAAATTGGTCTCAGGTTATATCTCTTTTTAGACAACATCTGATTAAAACTGACATTTTATTTTAAAAATAGTAATCTTTTTATTCTATTTAGCAGCCTGTGATGAAGATATATAGCTGTTTTGAAATGATTTATAAACCTTTTGAGTGAAATATTTCTTTCAGGCACAATCATGTAGCCAGACATCTTTGGCTTGATTAAACGTCTACAGTCAACTAAGTAATCGAGTATTTCCAGTTGATAAAACTTAGCAGGTAAGTTACTACTACTGTAAGATGGATTTCTTGTGCATTTTCCCTTGATTTCATAATAAAGCAAGGGCACATAAATTATGTAAATAACAGTTTATACTCGCTATCATCTGGCTAACGACAAGAAGCTACTCCAGCCTATGATGTATCCTAGAGTTGTGTTTAACGAGGGAAAATTGTTTGGGAAATATAGTACATTCCAACCATTAGCAACATTAAGAAAATAAAATTGTTCACGTCAGAAAAGAAAGCCTAGCAACTGGTGACAAACCTGTAGCTTTAAGCAAACTGTGCTGTCATACTAATGATCCTGATTAAGCTTGAGGAAAATGAGCAAATGTTCAATTGACTTTCAAAATAGTTTTGGGGGATCTCAGCCATGTGATGTTAAAAATCGAGAACTGGAGTGTCTAGAAGTTCATGTTTTCTAATATCATGTTACTGCAAATAGAAAGATAATCCACAACACTTGACATACTTAAAAGTTTAAATATTCCCTAGAAGTACTTCTCTTACTACAGAAACTGAATATTTAAACATAGTAATAAAAGCAAGATGAAATCAAATAATTTGAGTCTCACGTCTTTAAAAAGTAACCAGAGAACCCAACAAGGCAATAGCATATCTTGTTTGAAACAAGTGGTCCTACAGGAAAGTCCTTGCATTTAGTCATTATTTAAAAAACAAAACAAAAACCAACCCACAAACAAAAATAATGTGTAAACATCAAATTTTTGACCAGTGTCTAGATGAACTGCATGCTACACAGAGTTCTGCCTATTTTATGGGGAAGCTTTAGGCAAAAACAAACATTCATGCTAGACAGTTTAAAAAAAATCAGTTTGTAGCATAAGTTGTTACCCATGATTGAAATACCTTGTTAATTGCTAAATAAAATGTTTAACAAAAGTGGCTAACCAATACTTTAAAAGACAAAGTTTAATCTTTTTTTAAAAACTATTTCTGCGAGCCAGTATTATTTGACCAACCTTTTCTAACAGTAAGGGGCAAAGACAAAATAACCAACAATATTTTATGATTGCTTTTGCATCCCGCTTTATTTTTGTATGTGCATTCTCACGTTGTTAACAAGAATCAGTAATTCAACTCCTAGTTGCATTCAAATCCTTCATCAAATATATATTTAACACTGAAATTAGGAACTGAAATTAGCAAGGGCTTAGCAAGAAAAAGGAGATATTCATGTATATGAAAAGGTCATTTCTTCAGTGGTAAAATATTTTGTGTTATTTTTGTACAGTAAAAGATTGCAACCATAGCCTGACTTTGAATAAGAAAGGGGAAGGCTAATTAAAGAATGAAGCAACACATTGTGAAGGCTTATCCTTTTCAAATCTCACAGTTTCCAGCAGTTGCATTCTAAAAGAAAATACACTGAATGTTGTATCATGTTTGCATTTATCTGTTTCTGCCACGGTTTAAATAGGACTAACTGTGATTTCAAAATATTCTCCTAAGAGGCATTTTAAGTAATACAGACATCTTACTTTTAGGTTAACAAGTCTGCACTGACATAAGCTAAATCAACGTAAGCCTAAACCCAACATGAAATAAAATTGATCACTCAAACTCTAGCCACACAGAGAACAGTTTTGATGAACTAAATAGGTTAAAACATTTGAGAGAGGCAAAAGCACACATTTAAAAAAAATAAAAGTAAAAATCCTGTCCAACTGAAGAGCACCACTTGAGAATTAGGAAGCGCTCAGCCAAGGAATTTTGTTTCATAACCTTAGGTTTCACAGTTCAGTTAATACAGGTAAGATAATAAAAAACTTCTGGGTGAAGGTTAATGGTGTTCTTTAAAGAGACCAGTTTGATATTTCATACATTTGCTGCATTCTGGGAGAGAAAAAAAAAAAATTCTTTCACAATGTTTGCCTGAGAAGGAATCAGTTTCATATTTCCTAATGATTTCTCCTAAAAGGCTGTCAAGAATTTGCTCAAGAAGTGATAAATTAATTTACATCAAAAAAGTTTATTAGACATAAAAGTCTTATATATTTAGATACATACACTGCTTTTATTTTTTTCTTTACATAGTCAAAGTCTGAGGTGGTAGCTTTTTTATTGCATAAAGAATTCAAATAAAAATGAAAAAAGAGTATCAGTCTGTAGATTAAGAAGAGAGTCCATAAAACCCAGAGAGTGGAAATATTTGCAAATAGATGCCCATGTATGCAACTGATTCTAATGAATCAACTTATTAGTCAAAATATTAAGTCATTGCTTGTGTAGAGGAATGTCCTTGCACAGGTTGGTTGGTGAGACTCTACAGCAATTGCTTAGCATCAGATCTGCAAAGAAAGTGGCTGTTAATTCTGCCTTATCACAATTACCTATTGGCTACCTACTACACAATGTACATAGTAACAGGGAAGACCTCGATAAAACTAATGCCTACTTGCAAAAAGTAGAATGGGTCTAATGAGGCAACTACCAAGTTTCTATCTTGCCAAGAATCATTATGGGTAGGTTGTTTTCTGAGAAAACAGCTGCCTTAAGTGCCAACCTTTAATACAGCTGAAGGCAAGCTAAGCATTCACCATTCTCTAAAAATAAAAAGCAAACACACAGCTGCTGAAGAATCTGAAGGATACAGGAAGCGGATGGGCATTCAGAGTATGGCTACTGGGGAAGAACATACAGGTATGCATGCCAGAAAGCTCCATTTAAGAGAAGGCTGAAAGGATAAGGGCAAAAGTACAAAGCTTGAGGAAGTAATGTAGTGAAGCTTTGGGAAAAAATAACAGCATGAATGAATGCATTTTTTGTTTCTTGATTGACTGGCTACTTATGTTGCAAGCAAGGAATATGCCTGTGAAGTGATTAAGTTGAATAAGCCTGTTCTTATTCTGTGAATAACTAGTATGTCAAAGAAATACCCATTTCATCATGAAAATAGCCACTCAACTGGAATACACTTAGGACAGTCCCTACTTCATAATATTGCCACATGAACAGGAAAGAGAAAAGGAGGTGACCGATAGTGCATTCTTCAGATCTTAAAGGTTTTGTATTTCTTCTCCCTTAGACTAGACAAAGCCAACAACTTGTTACAACAGGTACACTACAAACTGTGATTTGTTGTAGAACCTTGACATTTTTAGCCTTAAAATTATTTCATTTCCAAAGTCTAAAGTTCAATTCTAATGCATCTTTAAGAGTTGACCTGATGCTCACTTCTCAAATAGATTCAGTTCTTACTACACTCCATTCATTATCAACTACACCAGTAAACAGGCTAATTACCACTAGTAAAGCCCAAGATATTTTATTCAACGCATGACAGACTGATTCTTTTTCCACACCATGTCTCTTCTGTTCAATTCTTGTACACTTTTCCTATTCCAGTCACTCTCAAACTACCAGCTGCTTCCAGGATTTTGGCTGAGCTCTTTCAAAAAGTAAATTCTATCCATTTGTTACAGATACAGAAGCATGACATAAACAAGTTTCAGTAATCGTCTTGATTCCCATGGCAAGATATCAAGGCTGAGGGCAGATTCTTTTTTTCAGGTACTCACTGTTTCTTCTCAACCTCTTCCTGGCAACATTGATAAGGATTTATTAAGTTCTATAATCATGAGAAGTTACCTGCTGGTACGTACCATGCCAGGCAACAAGCAATCAAAAGAACACCTACACTTCATCATAATGATGCCTAGCTTTCCAAATTTGTGGGTTTGTTAGCTTCTTTTGTTATCAGGAGAGAGATACACAGATACGATACCACATGAGGCAAACTGATGCATATATACCACGCATCTGATGCCTCACTGGAGAGCATTTGTAGAATGGGTGTTATACTGAAGTGCGAGCTAGGCGGCATTTTCCCAAAGCCAACATATTTACTAAACAGCATATTCACACAGGTAGGTCAGTTTATACACTGGAGAAACTGTTTGTGTGTGCACTAGTCAGATGCAAGCAAAGACAGCAGCCTAGAGCAGATCATTACCACAACCAGAACAATTCCTTCAGCTGGCAGGCCACCCCCATGAAAGAGAGGTGCAAGGTGCATGCCACATGCATTGCTCTAAGCACTTCAGCCAAGTACTCCCTGCTTTCTCAGATTCAGGACAGAAATTCAGTTACTGCTGTAAATGGATAAAAAATTAAGAACAAAGTAACATGGGAAAACAAGAACATCATTGCTATGATACAAATAAAAATGTGCTGTCCTGTGTTTTACACTGGAGACAGAAACAATCACAAACTGAATTAAAAGATAAAGTTCCTAAAAATCTGCTTTCAAATACAGAATATGTCAGTGCAGGATTTCTGGTCACAAGCTTTGGACACCATTATGGAATACATTCTGCAGAACATTGCTCTGGAGGCACAGAAAAAAGAGAAGTGGAAGTCTTACCCCTGCGGTTCTTGGACGGTCTTGTTTTCCACTTTCTGTTCACACTCTTTTATCATGGAGCTTAAAATAACCTAAGACACATAAGGAAGAGATATACAAACATTTTTTCTTTTACATTAACACTTCTTATGAAATCTACCCTGCAACTAATTCTGGCATTAGCAGAACTCTTTAAAAAATTTCTCTGTTGTTTTTCAACTGCATTTAAATTCCAGCTATCTGACAATGCTTTGTGGCTAGAAACAACAAAACCATTCAAAATGCTTTAAGGAAGAAAACGTTGAAATAGTTACAGGAGCTCAAGACTCCCTGCTGCTTCCCATGGCTTTTTAAACTAGAGGTAAAGCAAACTCACTTCTGTGACACAGCTCCTTATCTTCCTTTTTTCAAATACTTTTATTTATTAGCAATTAACTTCAACAGATTCATCTTCCCTTTATTTTCTTTTAGAGATTTTTCAAGTACCTTTTAAAATTAGTATCTTTATCAACATTATGCATGAAAGAAAAAGCAAAGAAAGAAAACAAAAAGGTATGATGGCATCCTGAGACAACATCTTAATGGAAAGGAGGTGCTAAAGCAAACTTAGTATCATCTCACTGGTGTCTTCCAGGGTTCCTATGAATCAAAGCTTTTTTTCTTTACTTAAGCAATTGCAGCGTTAAAGGTTTCTGCAGAATATTTAAGACTAAAACCACCCCCATGCTGACATTTTACATGCCTCCAGCATACTAAAAATAAAGGAATGATTCCCAATAGCAGGCTTTCAAAGAAATCATACAATTCATTGGACGGGTATATAACTCCCTGCCCTGCCCACAACAGCACTTTTTTAACACATTGAGACAAAAGCATCTGAAACATTTAGGCAAAACAGTTGCAATGCAGAGTGTGAAACTATAAATGTATATATAGTCCACTGCATAAATGGAAACTTTCTCTGCTCATAGATCAAGAGAAAGCTAAGCACTTTGAGACTCAACTTAAAATCTCAAAGCTACAAGCAACTAAAATTAGTACTGTCTTACCAAAACCTGAATATATACCATAAAGAAAAAACCTAATTTCAATCTCTAAAATACAGATTAGTCACTAATGGTTACTACCAAGTGATAACTATTTTAAAATGTATTTCTATACATAAAAAAGCTGGTTTCTGTCAAATCCCTATTAGAGAGCTGCAGCACAAAATAACCTTTGAAAATGTGGCCCAGTCTGCAGATCTGTACCACTGTTCACACTATTTCTCCAAAAGTGTTACTTCAACATTTCAAACAGTTTGGGTAGCAGGTATTACATACCCTTGAACGTTTCAGAAAGCAGTGTTCAAACCTGCATAAGAGTCTAACAGGATTACAACTCTTACTGCTAAATTTGCTGTCCTTCATTTGCAAGAACACAGAGGTACAAGAAAAATGCATTCAGAATTCCAGTGAAAAAGCAAGCTTTTCTTTCTGTATCAAAAGAAAACCGAAATTTCCAAGCACAGTGGCCATAATTTTTGTTACTTAGCATTTCTACCTGTGCATTGGAGCACTTCTACATTTTTGTACATCTATCTGAACCTAGAAGTTCCAAATATCAATATGAAGTCTTGATCAAGGGGGACCATAATTCAGCAAGGACTCAAACTTTTGAATACCGGGATGGAGCCCCTATCCGTTGCACAGCTCCTTCCAGGAAGGATGCATAATTCTTGGATGGAGCAATTCTTCCCTCTTCCCCAAGTTAATCTGTCTTAAAGTTCAAGGGGAAAAAGTATAAATATAGTATCATATGGCAATTTTACATTATGATATTGCACATACTGCTCACAGCTATTCCCTTGGGTTCTCTCTGTTTGGTCACAGGACTGACTTTGAAATCATTTAGATCTTATTTATTTTTAGAGATATTTGAGAGATGTAACTCTAACTATAGAGACATTCAAACAACATAACGTGCTTAAGTATTATAAAAATATTTTGTCCATCTGCAGTATTGTTTATCAAGTATTGATTATATCTGACTATCATGCAACTCAAAGTCCAATTATTTTGAAAAGAAATAGAAGGCAAGTGGAGAAGGGGGAAGGAGGGACTTGACATGGAATTAGAGATGCTGGCAAAGTATTTGAACTGTCTGCACAAGGTGAAATGTTTATTTTAAAGATGAGAGAGTCTAGCTTAAATGCCCAATTTGCACTTTTGTTTCGAATGAAAGGAAAGCAAATATGAGGGATAAGTGGTAAACATTGCCCGACAGAATCACAAGTCAATTCCACAAATGTTACATTTCCAAGACAACCATAAAGTCTATACTGACAAGACCTACTGCTCTGTGAATGAGAAAATGTGTTTTTGTAACAGATACGCCATTTGAATCGTGAATACCACCACAGTGACCAAAATAATAAGAAAAGGGTTAATTTTGTTTATGCAAATGTCTAACTACTTTAAATAGTAATTCACATTTACTTCAGAACACATAATTTTAAGACAGAAGGCTTGAAAGGCAGACATTAGAACTAACTGGGCCTCAGAGGTCTCTATCATGGTGCCTACAAACATCCTGTTGCAGCAAGGAGCTGATTAAGCACCAGATTTCCATTTCTACAATAAAAGCTGTAGCAAGTTTTCTAACCCACTGGAGCAGGAGTAAATATTTTTAAAGCTATGTTTCTCTCTGGCTAAAAAAAATAAAGCACTTGGCATCATGCCTGAATCCAATTAATCACAGTGATGCACAATATGGTAAAGGAGGATTGAGAGCTGTCTTTACTTATTTATTCTTAATAGTATTTTTTTTTCATATTTAAGCCCTCAGTTCCTTCTCTGACTACAAAACTCAAACTCAATCAAATAAGCTCTTTTGTTCTAGTTCATGGCATCTTTTGAACTGGTTATGCCCTTAAACTTTAGAAGTTGCACTACCATACAAAAATGAAGTATTCATATTTGTATCAGTTATCCCATTAGTGAATACAATAGAGGAAAGAAAATTAAACTAAACCCGACTTTTGCCTACTACAGCTTTCAGATATATTCTTAGACTTCCCAAAACACATCTCCCAGCTCTCTCTGAATACAGAGTATCATTGCCAGATCTCCTCCAGTGCTGCCTGTGGTTAAGGAAGTGCAATTCTATTGGCCTTTGACTGATGCTCTGGTCACCACTGTCCCTTCTGACTCAGTCCTCTGAAGTCAAATTCTTTTCTTATTGGTGTGAAAGTTACTCAAATTAATTAATCTCCAGTTCCACACACTGTAAATGATATAAAATAATATAATAATATACAGAAAATAAAAGGATGAGACTATAGGTTATTAGATTGAAAATATAACTTGAAGAAGGGACTTTGTTACCAAGTATAAGAACTTAGAACTTCTAGAGAATATAGTCCTCTCAACTAAGTCACTTTCACAAACATCAAGAAAAGCAATTACTTTTCTCAAGTACAAAGTAATCCATCAAAGTGCAGTATTAACCTTCAAAATCCAGAAAATTGTTCCTTTGTACATTTTTATCAAATCTTTTCTTCCATCACTTGAACTGTTCATACTGTCAAGGTTTTCCCAACATGCAACTAAGCTACATCTCTCATTTTCAGCTACTGACTTAATATCTATGTGTTTCAATCTGTTAGTGTTCATCCCCTTCAATTATTTACAAATCAGTGCATAGACATGTGGCCAAGATTTTCAAGTTTCTCAAGTCAGCTTCTCCTGCTAACTCTTCTTGTTTGCTACCTTCTGTAAGCTTCTTCTACCAGAGAAGCTCCTTCTACCAGAGAAGTTAGTTCCCATGTTGTCCTGTCTGCTTATTATAATCTGCTTTTATACAATTCACCGAATCAGAGAATGGTTGGGGTTAGAAGGGACCTCTGGAGGTCATCTGGTCCAATCTCCCTGCTCAAGCAGGGCCACCTACAGCTGGTTGCCCAGGATTGTGTCCAGATGGCTTCTGAATATCTCCAAGGACGGAGACTCCACCACCCCTCTGGGCAACCTGTGCCAGTGCTCAGTCACCCTCCCAGTGAAAAAGTGTTTCCTGATGTTCAGAGGGATCCCCTTGTGTTTCAGTTTGTGCCCATGGCCTCTGGGCCTGTCACTGGGCACCACTGAGCAGAGCCTGGCTCCCTCCTCTTTGCACCCTCCCTTCAGGTATTTATATACACTGGTAAGATCCCCCCTGAGCCTCCTTCTTCTCCAGGCTGAACAGCCCCAGCTCTCCAGACGTCTCCTCCTATGAGAGATGCTCCAGTCCCTTCATCATCTTCATGGCCCTCCACAGGACCCTCTCCAGTAGATCCATTCTTCTGTACTGGGGAGCCCAGAACTGGACACAGTACTCCAGATATGAAGTACATCCCATGTATTTCAGGATTATACTTTCCTCATCCTTGCCTATCATTTCTCTCCTGCACTCCACCAATTTTCATCTGCATTTCCCTGGATATATTGTGGCCAGTTATTTTAGCATATCCTTGTTTTGATGAAAAAACAGATGGTAAAAAACAATTCCTTTTTCTTCAGTCTACAAAGATCTGTGTTTCTCTATGCATTCCTGACAGTTCAATATTTCTCTGCAGAGGTCCTCGGCTTAGAAATAAATTTTAAAATATTTTACTGTTTTTTAAAATCATGTGACCTACTCCTTATCAAAAAAACCCTCAAAGCAATGTTTTGATACCACTTCTAAGTAGCTTTCCTTAACTTTTGGTTTTAAATACCATCATATTTTGACTTTTGCTGCCATCTGCATCTCATACTCAGTAAACATAGCTGCTCACCTCATGCTCTGGCGAGAGATGTTCCATGTCAGTTCGTAAACACTTAAGTCCTGGTAAAAAGTGATTGACCATTAAATCTTCTGAAATAACTAAAACCCAGGTTGTTAAGGTATTAAAAGGTTTATCTTTTGAAATGATACAATTTTTTTTTCTGTCTTCTGATAATGCTGTTCTACTGAACACAGGGACAAGCTACAGCAGCAGAACCCAAGAAAACAGACAGCATTTGGCACTTTGTGACAATAAAAAGGAAAAAAGATCTTAAACGTATTTAACTTCATATATTTCATACATCCATACCATTCTTTTAATATTTTTTCTTAATTTACTGGTTAAGATCAAGGGCTTTGTTATTGCAGCTTTTTTTTTTTCTTTAAAGTATCTATAAGTTCCACCGTATTGGGTCTGGCTGAGATGGAGTTCATTTTCCCCACAGCAGCCCTCATAGTGCTGTGCTTTGTGTTGGTCGCTAGAAAGGTGTCGGGAACACCCCTGTGTTTTGGCTTCTGCTGAGCAGTCCTCCCACAGCATCAAGGCCGTCTCTCCAACATCTTCCCTCACCAGGGAGCTTGGGGTGGGCAAGATCTTCAGAGGGGACATAGCCAGGACAGCTGACCCAAGCTGACCAAAGGGATATTCCATCCCATATGACGTCTGCTCAACAATAAAAGCTAAGAGAAAGGAGGGGGTGTGGGAAGGCATTCATTATGATGACGTTTGTCTTCCAGAGCAACTGCTATGTGTACTGAAGCCCTGCTTCCTGGGAAGTGGCTGGACATCATCTGTTGATGGGAAGTATAGAATAGATCTTTTGTTTTCCTTTGCTTCCGTGTGTGCTTTTTGCCTTATTAAACTTCTTTTATCTTGATGCAGGAGGTTTTTTCCATCTTATTTTCTCACCCCTTGTCCTGCTTAGGAAGGGAGTGATAGAGTGGCTTGGTGGGCACCTGGCACCCAGGCAAGGTCAACCCCCCACATCCACCTTCTGTGAAAACCTCTTCTTTATACTGAGCAAATCATGTTTTACATCATACACTCAAAGACAAACTTAGTTATTTCTCAAGTATTAGTCTTCTCTCCCCACCAGAAAATTAACAGCTAAACTTCCCCTAAAAAAAGGATACAACAACAGGAAAGAGCACTGTAGGCTTCAAACAGGTGGGTAGCAATATCCAGTCTCTTCGAATCCACAGACTGCTGATTGTTGACCAAGGCTAACTTGTGCAAGTGTGGAATAACAACTGTAAAAGTAAATACTGGAATAAGTATTTGAAATTGCTTTCCGTAGACTTGCTTAGCATTAAACAGTTGCTAAGTAGCAATTGCAGGCATCTGAAGCATCACACATCAGTGTGGAATAAGAACTGCAAATAATGGCTTTTGATGGGACTGTCCTCATGGATTTAGCTCAACAACTCAGACTTGAAATAAAACGGTGGTAACGCCACCTAAAATAAAAAGATACCCCAGAGAACCTTTGAAATAATAACAGTTTACAGAAAATATTTTGCAACGTTATTAGTCTCCTGCTGCTAAAGCCATCTAAAATATGCTTCTACTTCATAAATACAGCTGATAAGCTAGTGACAGAGATAGGCATGTCATGAGAAATTTCACTGACTATACCAGAAGCCTGTCTAATGAGTTTAGCCAGCTAAACTGGATGCCTGCAGTTGGGAGGCATGATAGCTCCCCATGCTTTGTTTACAATTATCTTTAAGACAGTCTAACAATTAACTTTGCTCTTCTATATGCTTTACATTTCAGGGCCATGAAAAAAAGCTGTTTTGTTAATCTGGGATGCACTTACATTTAAGATGTGTGGAATACTTGAAATTTATATGCTTGAAATTTATATGCTAGCAGCAGGTGAAGCAATGAGGGAAGAGGGGAAAGGAAGGAATTTTACATGTCAAGTAATTAAAAAAAAGACAAGTTCAAATCCGCTCTGCAGCAAAATGTCCCCTCCGACTCTGAAATCATTCATCACCATATGCTGGTGTTCTATATACACATCAATGTTAGGTAAACTGAAAATTGTATTAGCAAAGTCTCAAATACTGGGACATATCAAACTCCGAAAAAAAGCTTTCCAACTTTTTTGTAAAGACCAAAAAAAAAAAAAATCATCAACATAACCATCATACTATTAGCTTTGGGACAGAAAGAGGAAGACTGCATCTTCCTACTGATGCAACTTACATTCATCTCTAAATCTGGGCTCAGCATTAGGTCCAACTCTTCCAAATGTCTTTATGATTTCTGTATGTAAAGAATGTTGGTCTTGATATTGAGGGTCCTCCAAGAAAGATGCCAGCTGCATTT